CCCCGCATGGTGAGCTAATAGCGGAGATGGATGTGGCTGCGTGTGTGGGGTGGGGTGGCGTGGGGGGGAACGAATGCGTGGTGGGGATAGGTATGCTTGCTATTCCCAGAAAGGATCTTGAGAGGCACATTGCGACTTTTGAGGCGCCTCAAAAGGGGAAAGGAATGCGTGGGGGGCAAGGTATGCTTGCTATTCCCAGAAAGCATTTGAGAGGCACATTGCGACGGACTACCCGCTCTCCACCGCTCATCCAATCTCCTCCACCCTTTTCCCGCTTCCCCCAGGTGGTGGCGGCAGCAGGAGCGGCGAGCTATGACGCGCTGGTGAAGAAGGTTGAGAAGACATTCGCGTCGCTGCCTGCCCTTGCTCTCTTCCTTCCAACAATTCCCACCCCCCGGCCCCCCCACACCCGTTCTCCTCACCTTCAGGTGGTCTCAGCAGCAGGAGCGGTGGATCACGATGCGCTGGTGAAGATGGTGGAGAAGACATTCGCCTCGCTGCCTGCTGCCAGTCACTAACCAACCCCCCTGCCGCAACCAAACCCGTCCTCCCCCCATACCCTCCTCACCCTGCCCCCAGGTGGTGTCGGCAGCAGGAGCGGTGGATCACGACACGCTGGTGAAGATGGTGGAGAAGACCTTCGCCTCGCTGCCTGCTGCCAGCACCACCACTGTCGCGGACCTCATTGCCAAGGAGCCCTCCAAGTTCACAGGTGGGTGTTACTGGTGGTGGTGGTGGTGTGTGTAAATAAGCCAGTTTTGAGAATGTACAAAGGCCATCAGCCACTGCTGCCTGCTGCCAGCACCACCACGGTCGCTGACCTCATTGCCAAGGAGCCCTCCAAGTTCACAGGTGGGTGTTACTGGTGGTGGTGGTGGTGTGTGTAAATAAGCCAGTTTTGAGAATGTACAAAGGCCACCAGCCACTGCTGCCTGCTGCCAGCACCACCACTGTCGCTGACCTCATTGCCAAAGAGCCCTCCAAGTTCACAGGTGGGGTAGTGGTGGTGCTGCTGCAGCTCTTGCCATCCAGTTCAAGTTCAAATGTCCGTGGTGTGGGGCCACTTGTGAGAGATTTTATGAGTCACCAATGCTCTCCCCCTCCCCCCCCTCCCACTCCCTTTGTCTTCAAGCTCAGAGGTGCCCATTCGTGGCGACGACAAGCCCTTGCCTACAAGGGCGGGCGCCAGCTGGACTGCTGTCTCAAGTCAACAATCCCTCCCCTCCCACCCACACGCCTCCTCCCTCCCACCCTCACCCCTTCTCCCCCCAGGCTCCGAAGTGCGCATCCGCGATGACGACATGCCGCTGACCAACTTCGCCATTGCTTACAGAGGAGTGGTTACAAGGGCGCCAGCTGGACTGCTAGTTGCTAACCACTCCTCCCCTCCTCCTTCGCTTCTCCTCTTCCCTTCCCTGCCCCCGTTGTTCTCAGGTTCCGAGGTGCGCATCCGTGATGATGACATGCCGCTGACCAACTTCGCCATCGCCTACAAGGGCGCCAGCTGGACGGACCCGGATGCCGTGGCGCTGCAGATCATGCAGACCATGCTGGGGTCGTGGAGCCGCGGTGCTGGTGGGGGGAATGCTCTGGGGTGAGTATTTATGAGGGGTGATGGGTGGTTGTGTGATGGGTTACGAGCAATCAGGCGGGTGAGAGGGTGGTGCTGTGGCGCTGCAGATCATGCAGACCATGCTTGGGTCGTGGAGCCGCGTGGCTGGCGGAGGGAATGCATTGGGGTGAGTAAGAAACACGCGTCTAGGTAGTATGGTATGGTTTGGTGGTATGGTACGGCGAGCAGTAGCCCATCTGGACCGACCTGGATGCTGTGGCGCTGCAGGTCATGCAGACCATGCTGGGGTCGTGGAGCTGCGGGGCGGGCAGGGGAATGCGTTGGGTTAAGAATCACGGTGTGCTATGGTACAGTATGTGTGAGATGGTGATGCCATGACGCTGCAGGTCATGCAGGCCATGCTGGGGTCCTGGAGCCGCGGGGCGTGTGAGTGATCGAGAGGAATATCTGTGGTGCGCTAGCCCCATCTTCTCGTCCCTCTCTTTCCCTGCTCATCTCTCCCTGCCCCTCCACCTTGCTTCCCCCTCACATACTGAAACGTTGCCCTCTTTATTCTCCAGTGCAGAAGGTGGCGGCCAACAGTCTCTGTGAGCGCTTCATGGCGTTCATTTCATTCAACACCAACTGCATCCATCCAGTCCAGCCCCTCTCTCTGCTCATCTCTCCCTGCCTGCCCCCCATCCTTCTCCACCCCTCTCCTTCATACCGTCTCCCCCTCTCCTTGCAGGTCGGAGTTGGCACAGAAGGTGGCGGCCAACAGCCTGTGTGAGCGATTCATGGCGTTCAACACCAACTACTCTGACACGGGGTTGTTTGGCGTCTATGCCTGCGCCAAGGTGAAGTGCAGCTTTCAATGAAGTGCAGCTTTCAATGAAGTGCAGCTTTCAATGAAGTGCAGCTTTCAATGAAGTGCAGCTTTCAGAATTTCAATGCAAGGCACTTCATTGCAAGCAGCGTACTTCCCTCAGCCACCATACAACATGTCTCATTTGCCTACCCCATGTTCCCATCTTCTCATGCTCATACTAATCCCCATGCACATGAGCAGCCCGGCCATCTGGATGGCCTAACATGGGCCATGATGTATGAGATCACTCGCCACGTCGACCGCATGCTGTGTCCCACATACCCAACCCACCCTACTCTGGCCTTTCTCCATACCCTGTCTTATTCCCAACCTCCCATTGTTGATGCCGTGCTGTCTGTTCCCATGCATGTGAGCAGCCCGACCATCTGGACGACCTCGCGTGGGCCATGATGCATGAGATGGGGTCACTCGCATGTGACATGTGCTTCATTTGCCTAAACCATGTCCCCATCTCCTCACTCTCCCACCATATCCCCATGCATGTGAGCAGCCCGACCATCTGGACGACCTCGCGTGGGCCATGATGCATGAGATCACCCGCCTCGTGTACCGCGTGTCTGTGTCTCATATGCCCACCCTACCCTGTCCTGTTCCCACCACCCCTCCTTTCCCCCCCCCCCCCCCCCCCCCCTTATTGTTTATGTGCTCTTCTGTCTGGTGCCATGCCATGAGCAGCCCGACCATCTGGACGACCTCGCATGGACCATGATGCATGAGATCACTCGCCTCGTGTACCGCGTGTCTGATGATGACGTCACCCGCGCTGGCAACGCAGTAAGTGCCATGCCACGTCAGCATGCTGTCAGTCAGTCAGCCCGTTGTCAGCATGTTACCAGCCATTTGCGGTAGCATGCTGTCACCTCACATGCATTCGCACCACTCAGCTTTCACTAGTCATTGTGATACCCCACCCACCACCAACCCCCTCCACACCACCCACCCCACCAGCTGAAGGTGTCCCTGGCGTTGCATCTGGACGGCTCGAGTGCAGTGGCGGAGGGCATTGGTCGGCAGCTGATCACGTACGCACGTGTGCACCCCTCTCCACCCCTTCCCACCCACCCCACAGCTCAAGGCATCCCTTGCTCTGCATCTGGACGGCTCAAGCGCTGTGGCGGAGGACATCGGGCGGCAGCTGATCACGTACGGGCGGCGCATCCCGCTGGCTGAGATGTTTGCCCGCATCGACGCCGTGGATGCTGAGACGGTGAAGCGCGTTGCAGAGCGGTTCCTGATGGACAGGGTGAGAAGTGGGATGGGTGATGAGGGGTGATGATGGGTGATGATGGTGGGAGTGGGTGTGCCGCTTGTGATGAGGGTTGTGCGCGTATCGATGCCGTGGATGCTGAGACGGTGAAGCGCGTTCCAGAGCGGTTCACTGACTGCCCTGTGTGATGCTCAACAGTGCGTGACGGTGGCAGCTATCGGCCCTATGCAGTTCTTCCCGGACTACAATTGGTCAGTTTCGTCACACGTGTCCCCCCTCCCCCCTTATTCTACTCCCCCTTCCCCATTTATACCCCCTACTCAGGATGTGGCGGTGGCAGCCATCGGCCCGACGCAGTTCCTCCCAGATTACAACTGGCTGCGCCGCCGCACTTTCTGGCTGCGATATTAAAGCTGAAGTATACATTTGTCATCCAGGTTTTGGGTTTAGAAAGTCACCTCACGGTCTCACAGGCAAACTTTCAAATTTCAAAAGTTTTTGAACCCCTTCTGTCAAATGTATACGAAAGCTTTAAGTGCTGCGCTTAGTGTTTCCGCATTGGGTGTTGCACACTGTTGGTGCTAAGCGTTGCACTTAGGGAGCTCCAAGCATGGTCCTGGCCCCTGGTCCTTCTGGCAGAATGGTGACCGTCTGCTGTGTGGTTTCACCTACTGCTGTGCAAAAGGATAGAGTATCAGTTGCTGCAATGCAAGCAGTAACCGTTGGTGAAAATTGACTAGTGTCCCTGCTGTTGCTGTTGCTGCTACTTCTGCTGCTTCTAGTTCTTCTGCTGTTGTTGCAGGTTTCTCGCTTCCATCTGCCAATGGTCTTTGTAATGTAACAAATCTGCCTTATGGCCTATACAAGCATTACTAAAGTGTCTCGTACTGGCAAGGTTTTGTTAACGTGTAGCTTGTACTCATAGTCATGGGTGGCCCTCAGCGAGGTAGAGAGACAACTTGCTCTGCCGGGAAGCCATGTAAATTATTGTACCGTAAATGCTTTCTTCATTCCATGACGACAAGATTAGTTCTCAATTTCCTATCCCATCCTCCAACAACACATCAGCAGATAAAGCAGTGAATTGTGATTTTCTTGTCTACGCAATGCACACTCAGTAAAATTGTGGTTTTGTTGTCGCTGCTACTGATGGTGGTGGTGGGGGGGGCAGGCAGGGCACCAAAACAGGTGATACTCTTAACGCTGCTGCAGCTGCTGCTGCAGCTAGTGGTGGTGGAACAGTGGAATCTCCACCAATCATTTCAGTGCCGCAAGCTCTGACTGATAGGCGAACCTTGCTAGAGGTGAGTTCTCTGAGCCGACTCAAAACACACCTCCTGCTGCTACCGTTGCTAGTGGTGGTGGTGTGTGGGAGGACTCTCCACCAGCCGTTTCAGTGCTGCAAACTCGGGCTTATCAAGGAATGCTGCCATTTCTTTCAGGGCGGCGTCTTTTGTTGGCTTGTGAGGGGCATGGGCCAGTGCTGCCACTACTTTGGCGCTGCAGAAGACAGGATGGGGAGAAAGGAGGATAGGATTAAGGCGAATGGGGGAAAAGGAAAAGTAGAAGGGGAGACAAGAGGGAGGGGTAAAGGAAAGGAGGAATGGGAAAAACAAACGAGGTGGAGAAAGGAGGGAGGAGAAATGTGGGAAGTAAAGCAGGGAGACGGCACGGGAAGAGATGAGGGACATAATATCAGAGTGCTTCCTGGAAACACTTCAAGAGTCATTAATTCGTGTCCTCTCTTGTCTTACATGTGTCCTGTGGCCCTCTCTCTCACGCTAGACCTCTCCCTTTGGTCTCACCTGTGTCCTGTCCCCCACTCCCTGCACCGCCCTTGCAACGCCTCTCGCCACAACACAGCACAAAAAGGCTCCACTTCCCCTTCCCCTCCTGCTTCTTCTTCTGCCTTTGCCGTTTCTTCTGCTCCTTCCACAGCTGCTGCAGCTGCTAGCCTCTCCTCATCAGCCACCAGTCTCCTGAGCACTCTACTCCCAAAGAAGTCCTCCAGCACATGGCTCTGTTGCTCCTCCGTCTCCCCCTCTGCTTTCTCCCCCTCCTCCCCCTCCTCCCCTTCCTCCCCTTCCTCCTTTGCCTTCTCCTTCTCCTCACCCTGTCCCTCCTTGCTCTTCCCCTTCCCCTTTTTCCCCTTCTTTCCCTTCTCGCTCTTGGCGTTCTCAGCTGTGGCAGCAGCAGCAGGGGGGCGGGGGGCAGCAGCTTCGGCAGCGATGGCAGAGTGCAGGGCGGAGAGGAGTGAGGGGCAGTGCAGGGTGAGCAGAGAAGAATCCCCACCTCGGGCAAGCTGGGAGAGGCGAGACAGGGAGGGAGGGAAGGAGGGAGCAGTATTAGTGGGAGGCAGGGAGCAGCAGCTTCGGCAGCGATGGCAGAGTGCAGAGCGGAGAGGAGCGAGGGGTGGTGCTGGACGAGCAGAGAGGAGTCCCCTCCTCGGGCAAACTGGGGGAGGCGAGACAGGGAGGGAGGGAAGGAGGGAGCAGTATTCGTGGCGGGTGGGGGAGCAGCAGCTTCGGCAGCGATGGAAGAGTGCAGAGGAGACAGGAGTGAAAGGTGGTGGCGGGCGAGCAGAGATGCGTCCCCTCCTCAGGCAAGCTGGGGGGGGAAGATGGGGGGTGGGGGAAATGAAGAAGGGAGCGGTATTAGCAGAGGTGTGGGGGAGCAGAGGCAGCGGCGGCGATGGCAGAGTGCAGGGCGGAGAGGAGTGAGGGGTGGTGGAGGGCGAGTAGAGAAGCGTCCCCTCCTTGGGCAAGCTAAGGGGCGGTGAGGTAGGGAGGGAGGGGGCCATGGAGGGAGGTGAATGAGGAGAGGAGAGGGAGGGCGAGAGGTGGGAGGGATTGTGTTACAGTTATGATGTGTGGAAAGGAAGGGAGAGGAAATGAACAAGAGCAATAAAGGAAAGAGTGTTGAATGAATCGTGAGGGACAGATGAGGTTGTGCAAACGTGTCATTCAGCTATAACATGAGACGGAAGAAACTACACACATGTCACAAACGAAACTGTAACAGCGCATCGTACCTAGATGAAACTGTAACAGCACATAGTACCTATACGAAACTGTAACAGTGCATCTTACCTCGTAGATGACATCAGAGGCGAACTGAGAGGTGAGCATGGCTCCTGCATGCTCCGTTGCCAGCTTTAGCATCTCCTGTTGAATTGAGAACAAGGGAGCAACGTAAGGAGCGACACAAGGGGAGCAGCACATTGCAGCAGGGACAAGGCAGCACAAACACACACACCAGGTGGCTGACAATGCAACAAGCCAACAATATCACGAGACGAGACACCTGGAGAGAAAGCATGGCTGCTGGACGCCGCTTTGCCAGCTTGAAAATCTGCTGAATCAACACAGCCGCACAGGGAAATGGAGCCCAGCACAGCAGTACCTGGCGAAGCAGCACAGCTAGGTAAGTGAGAGTCCACACCCCATCCAATCCCATCCCACCCCATCTCACCACTCCTTCCTCTCCACTCACCTCTGCCAACCCCGAATCCACCAGAAGCTTCCTCCTCTTCGCAAGGGACCGGGACCCCTGCCCTCCCTCGCCCTCCTCCTCCCCTTCATCCTCCTCCTCATCATCATCATCACTATCATCCAACGCAGCAGCTGCTGCTGCTGCCGCCTTTCTCTTCTTGCCATCCAGCTTCCCCTTCTTCTTCCCGGGCTTGATCGTTTTCTCTCCTTCCTCCTCTCCCTCCTCCCCTTCCTCCCCCTCCTCTCCCTCCTCTCCTTCCTCTCCTTCCTCCCCTTCCTCTCCCTCATCCTCCCCCTCTTCACCCTCTCCCTCCTCCCCCTCTCCTTCCTCCTCATCCTCTTCCTCTTCCATCTCAACTCCCTCCCCTTCCTCTTCCCCCTCCTCCTCCCCCTCCTCTCCTTCCTCCTCTCCATCCTCCCCTTCCACCATCATCTCCTCTTCCTCCCCTTCCTCTCCCTCCTCACCTCCCTCCTCCTCCCCCTCCTCCCCTTCTTCCTCCTTCTCCTCCTTTACCTCCTCCACCACTCTGCCGCCCAGCACAATGGCCTGGGCGGCATCGGGCGGCAGGTAGCGGTGCGAGGAGGGGGCCAGCAGCTGCAGCAGGAACCTGCGGCCAATGCGCTCCTGCATGACCTCGAACAGGTCCTTCAAAAGCTCCTTGATCACGAACTGGAGTGAGACGGGGGGCGCAAGGTGGGCACAGGGGGCAAAGGGGCAAAGAATGGATCAGGCGGCCAATGCGCTCCTGCACGACCTCGAACAGGTCCTTCAAAAGCTCCTTGATCACGAACTGGAGTGAGACGGGGGGCGCAAGGTGGGCACAGGGGGCAAAGGGGGCAAGGAATGGATCAGGCGGCCAATGCGCTCCTGCACGACCTCGAACAGGTCCTTCAAAAGCTCCTTGATCACGAACTGGAGTGAGACGGGGGGCGCAAGGTGGGCACAGGGGGCAAAGGGGGCAAGGAATGGATCAGGCGGCCAATGCGCTCCTGCACGACCTCGAACAGGTCCTTCAAAAGCTCCTTGATCACGAACTGGAGTGAGACGGGGGGCGCAAGGTGGGCACAGGGGGCAAAGGGGGCAAGGAATGGATCAGGCGGCCAATGCGCTCCTGCACGACCTCGAACAGGTCCTTCAAAAGCTCCTTGATCACGAACTGGAGTGAGACGGGGGGCGCAAGGTGGGCACAGGGGGCAAAGGGGCAAAGAATGGATCAGGCGGCCAATGCACTCCTGCATGACCTCGAACAGGTCCTTCAAAAGCTCCTTGATCACGAACTGGAGTGAGACGGGGGGCGCAAGGTGGGCACAGGGGGCAAAGGGGGCAAGGAATGGATCAGGCGGCCAATGCGCTCCTGCACGACCTCGAACAGGTCCTTCAAAAGCTCCTTGATCACGAACTGGAGTGAGACGGGGGGCGCAAGGTGGGCACAGGGGGCAAAGGGGCAAAGAATGGATCAGGCGGCCAATGCACTCCTGCATGACCTCGAACAGGTCCTTCAAAAGCTCCTTGATCACGAACTGGAGTGAGACGGGGGGCGCAAGGTGGGCACAGGGGGCAAAGGGGGCAAGGAATGGATCAGGCGGCCAATGCGCTCCTGCACGACCTCGAACAGGTCCTTCAAAAGCTCCTTGATCACGAACTGGAGTGAGACGGGGGGCGCAAGGTGGGCACAGGGGGCAAAGGGGGCAAGGAATGGATCAGGCGGCCAATGCGCTCCTGCACGACCTCGAACAGGTCCTTTAAGAGCTCTTTGATCACGAACTGAAGGAGAGCCGGGCGGTCACAGGGGCAAAGGAAGGCAAGGAGCGCAAAGGAGGCTGACGTTAGATGGCTGATTTGCTCCTGCGTGACCTCCAACATGCCCTTCAGGAGCTCCTTAATCACGAACTGCAGATGAAACGGGGGGACAAGGAGTGGAAATTATGCTAACAGCAGGCGGCGCACTCCTGCACGACCTCGAACAGGTCCTTCAGGAGCTTCTTGATTACGAAATGGAGGAGTGGGGGAGGGGCGCAATGGGGGCAAGGAGCAGGAGAGCGCTCAGGTGGCTGATTTGCTCCTGCACGACCTCGAACAGGTCCTTCAGGAGCTTCTTGATTACGAAATGGAGGAGTGGGGGAGGGGCGCAATGGGGGCAAGGAGCAGGAGAGCGCTCAGGTGGCTGATTTGCTCCTGCACGACCTCGAACAGGTCCTTCAGGAGCTTCTTGATTACGAAATGGAGGAGTGGGGGAGGGGCGCAATGGGGGCAAGGAGCAGGAGAGCGCTCAGGTGGCTGATTTGCTCCTGCACGACCTCGAACAGGTCCTTCAGGAGCTTCTTGAAAACGAAGTGAGAGGGGGGAAACAGAGGAGGGGGGAAGGGTTGGGGCGGCCAATGGGGTCCTGCATGACCTCGAACACGTGCTTTAAGAGCTTCTTGATCACGAACTGGAGTGGGGGAGGGAAAACAGAGCAGCAAGGCTGACGGCATTAAGTGACCAATGCGCTCCTGCAGTCCTTCAAGAGCTCTTTAATCACTAACTGAATGAACAGACACACGGGGTGTGGGGAGGAAGAAGGGAAGCGGTCGGGAGAAGGAAAGTTGGGAAGGGCAGCCTTGGGTGCGAGCACGAGCATCACCATCCAAATGTGCCGCTGTTCCAAGGGCGTGGTAGCATGCTGTTCCAAGGGCGTGGTAGCATGCTGTTCCAAGGGCGTGGTAGCATGCTGTTCCATAGGAAAGTTGGGAAGGGCGTGGTATGCTATGCTATGTTCAAAGGTCGAACAAGCATACCTGCCTGAGCGGGCCTGAGGACGCTGATTTGACCAGCCGCAGCAGCAGCAGGTGGCCGTGGTCGTCACATGCTAGCCGCGACACATCATGCCTCTGCTTGTGATGAGGCGATTTTTGAGTCGACTCAAAAATCGCCTCATGCTAACCGCGACACATCATGCCTCTGCTCCAAGGGCGTGATATGGTATGCTACCCAGTTTATTGGGTCAGGTCAGAGACGCCTACCCGGTTGATAGGGCCTGACGAGGCGGATTCTAAGAGCTGCAGCAGCAGCAGGTGGCCGTGGTCGTCACACATCACCCGCGCCACCACCCCCTTGAGCGCCTTCACCACCCGCCGCATCTCCTGCCGTTTGCACAGACATGCCGTGCCATGTCATGCCATGCCAAGCAAAAACGGACATCCCATGCCACGTCAGGCCATAATTTTTAGACCATGCCACATGACAAACAGGACAGGTCATGCCATGCCATGCCATGCCACATTCCACGGAACACATGTGAAATGGAAGAGATGGATCAAATGGTTGGATGGTTAGTTGGTTGGTGGCTGTGAGATTCCGAGCGCTGTAGTTGTAAGATAACTGCATTATCAGCACAGGTTGGGATTAGCACAGGTTGGGCGTTGCTCACCTTGGGCGTTGCTCACCTTTGGAGTTGCTTGTGCCACCATAGTATTGGCGATCCTGACCCCATCCCGCGTGTGCACCATGCGCAGCAGCAGCGCCCCCATCAGCTGCTGCCTCACCTCCGCCACCTCCCTCTGCACTCCAAACAAACAGGACGGGAGGGGAAGAGGAGGAGGGGGGGTGGGGGGAGGGGCGGGGGCGGTGGAAGTGGGTTGACTCTGGGAATGACGGGATGAAATTCTGGTGATGCCATTTCCTCCCCAGCACGGACTGCCGGCTGGTGCCCCCCCCCACCCCCACCCCACAGGCCCACCATACCTTGGAGATGACGCCCAGGTAGTCCGCTAGCACGCGGTGGAACAGGGAATGATCCACTATCCCCTTCTCCAGGATCGGCTGCAGGGAAGTTTCCAGGTGCTGCAGCACTGATTGGCGGGAGGTGCCCGAGGGGAGGTTGGCCAGCAGGTCAGAGAGGCGGCCGGCGCCAGGGAGGGCGAGCGAGGGGAAGAGGCGGAAGTCTGGCGCAAAGAACTCGGATGCTAGGGCTGATCGCTGAGGGGGTGGGGAGAGTTGATATGCATGCTCTATGACTGGCGGGGGGAGGGGAGTGGGAGGGAGACAGAGAGAGAGGAGGGACACGAGTGAGGGGGAAGGCCGAGTGTGGGGAAGAGGCGAGAGGAGAACTCCCTGGGGGAGCGAAGGGAGGCTGGATAGCAGGTCGGAGAGGCGGCCGGCGCCAGGGAGGGCGAGCGAGGGGACGAGGCGGAAGTCTGGTGCAAAGAAGTCCGTTGCTAGCGCGGAGCGCTGAGGCGGAGGTAAGAGCTGGTAGGCGTGCTCTATGACTGGTGGGGGAGGGGGGAGGGAGAGAGGTAAGGGAGGGAGGGAGAGGTGAAGAAGGAGGAAGAGGCGAGGACAAGTGAGAAACATGGAACGATTGAGTAGACTCAAGACGGCACTGTGACATAGCACCACAAGGCTACAATAGCACAAGGCATGGCACCATGAGTACGTGGCACCATGAGTACGTGGCATGGCACCATGAGTACGTGGCATGGCACCATGAGTACGTGGCACCATGAGTACGTGGCATGGCACCATGAGTACGTGGCATGGCACCATGAGTACGTGGCATGGCACCATGAGTACGTGGCGTGGCACCATGAGTACATGGCATGGCACCATGAGTACGTGGCATGGCACCATGAGTACGTGGCATGGCACCATGAGTACGTGGCATGGCACCATGAGTACGTGGCATGGCATCAGAAACATACCCGCACTGGCAACAGAGTGGCGCATCATCTCGACCACATGGCCCTTCGGCTGGTCTGTGGCGCATGCATCAGCTGAAATACATGACACTACGCTCTCACGTATAGCAACACCTACCCCCCCTTCCCCCAACCCCCCCTTTCCCCACTTGCATACCAGCACTGGCGACAGGGTGCCGCATCATCTCGACCACATGGCCCCTCAGCTGCCCCACGATGTCGTGCTTCTTCTCCTTGCTCGCTGCCATGCATACAGCGGGAGGAGGGGAATAGCAGACAGAAAGACGGGCAAGGCTGGTACCACTTTTGAGAATCTCGTCAACTCATCTCGACCTCATGACCCCTCAGCTGCCCCACAATGTCGTGCTTCTTCTCCTTGCTCGCTGCCATGCGTACACGGGAATTAGGAGCAAGATAAAGGAACTTGAAAGTTCGATCAACGTAGATGGAAGTAGGAGCAAGATACAGGAAAGAGAAAGGGAAAGGGAGACAGAAAGGAGGGGAGGCTGGTCCATCATTCGGTTGACCAGGTGGTGAGGAGCATACAGGTGCATAGGCAGCTCGCGGCAGTGCAGTGCAGCGATGATTGAGTTTACCGGAAAGGAAGAGAAGCTTATCAATGAAACCCACCATGGTCCATCATCCTGTTGACCAGGTGGTGGGCGTACGGGTGCACGGCCAGCTCGCGGCAGTGCGGGCGTAGTTCCGAAAACACAGCCTCGCGCTCCTCCTTGCGGCCGTGCTTGACACACAACGTACCATGCATGCACCATGTAGGAAAACCATCACATGCTTACCATGGTCCATCATGCGGTTGACCAAGTGGTGCACGTACGGATGCACGGCCAGCTCACGGCAGTGCAGTGACCTTGAAGTGCGAGTCTAGCAGCAAGCAAGAAACACACCATGGTCCATCATGCGGTTGACCAAGTGGTGCGCGTAGGGATGCACGGCCAGCTCACGGCAGTGCGGGCGCAGCTCAGAAAACACAGCCTCCCGCTCCTCCTTGCGGCCGTGCTTGACGCACATCTGCAGCACTCGTGACACGGTGTGTGAGCGCGCCATCTCCACCATCTTCCCCTTCATCTTCGCTGTCATCATTGTCACCAGCCTGGGAGGAACAGGGAGGGGAGGGGCAGGGGTAGGAGGGGGAGGGGGAGGGGGAGGGGGAGGGGGAGGGGGAGGGGGAGTGGGTGGGGGAGTCGGTGGGGGTGAAAGCTGGGGGAGGGGGAGCGACGGGGCCTCCCTTTCCTTGCGGCCGTGCTTGACGCACATCTGCAGCACGCGTGAGACGGTGTGTGAGCGCGCCATCTCCACCATCTTCCCCTTCATCTTCGCTGTCATCATTGTCACCAGCCTGGGAGGAGGAGGGAGAGAGATGAGTGCAAGGTGAGAAGAAGAAGAGGGGGGAGAGGACGAGGGAACAGGGAATGAGCAGAGCAGCAGGCGTGAATGAGCAGAGCAGCAGCACGCGTGAGACCGTGTGTGAGCTCGCCATCATCTCCACCATCTTCCCCTTCATCTCCGCAGTCATCATTGTCACCAGCCTGGGAAGCGAGGAGGAAAGACGAGGAGGAAAGACGAGGAGAAAAAAGAATGGGCGCATTTAAACATCTCCGGATGCCAGTCTGACTCAGATATGCCCCAGTGATGGACCATAAGAGAGAGGAGAGGGGGGGAGGGGGGGGGGGGGGGGGGGTGCGGTTTCGGCACTCACTTCTGAGCAAGGTTTCAGCGCCCCTCTACCCCCCCCTTTCTCTCCCCCCCTCACACTCCCACCTCTCGCCCCCTCACCACTCGGCACCCACGCACTCTCGGCACCCACGCACTCTCGGCACCCACGCACTCTCGGCACCCACGCACTCTCGGCACCCACGCACTCTCGGCACCCACGCACTCTCGGCACCCACGCACTCTCGGCACCCACGCACTCTCGGCACCCACGCACTCTCGGCACCCACGCACTCTCGGCACCCACGCACTCTCGGCACCCACGCACTCTCGGCACCCACGCACTCTCGGCACCCACGCACTCTCGGCACCCACGCACTCTCGGCACCCACGCACTCTCGGCACCCACGCACTCTCGGCACCCACGCACTCTCGGCACCCACGCACTCTCGGCACCCACGCACTCTCGGCACCCACGCACTCTCGGCACCCACGCACTCTCGGAACCCACGCACTCTCGGCACCCACGCACTCTCGGCACCCACGCACTCTCGGCACCCACGCACTCTCGGCACTCGGACCACGCACTCTCGGCACCCACGCACTCTCGGCACCCACGCACTCTCGGCACCCACGCACTCTCGGCACCCACGCACTCTCGGCACCCACGCACTCTCGGCACCCACGCACTCTCGGCACCCACGCACTCTCGGCACCCACGCACTCTCGGCACCCACGCACTCTCGGCACCCACGCACTCTCGGCACCCACGCACTCTCGGCACCCACGCACTCTCGGCACCCACGCACTCTCGGCACCCACGCACTCTCGGCACCCACGCACTCTCGGCACCCACGCACTCTCGGCACCCACGCACTCTCGGCACCCACGCACTCTCGGCACCCACGCACTCTCGGCACCCACGCACTCTCGGCACCCACGCACTCTCGGCACCCACGCACTCTCGGCACCCACGCACTCTCGGCACCCACGCACTCTCGGCACCCACGCACTCTCGGCACCCACGCACTCTCGGCACCCACGCACTCTCGGCACCCACGCACTCTCGGCACCCACGCACTCTCGGCACCCACGCACTCTCGGCACCCACGCACTCTCGGCACCCACGCACTCTCGGCACCCACGCACTCTCGGCACCCACGCACTCTCGGCACCCACGCACTCTCGGCACCCACGCACTCTCGGCACCCACGCACTCTCGGCACCCACGCTCGGCACCCACGCACTCTCGGCACCCACGCACTCTCGGAACCCACGCACTCTCGGCACCCACGCACTCTCGGCACCCACGCACTCTCGGAACCCACGCACTCTCGGAACCCACGCACTCTCGGCACCCACGCACTCTCGGCACCCACGCACTCTCGGCACCCACGCACTCTCGGCACCCACGCACTCTCGGCACCCACGCACTCTCGGCACCCACGCACTCTCGGCACCCACGCACTCTCGGCACCCACGCACTCTCGGCACCCACGCACTCTCGGCACCCACGCACTCTCGGCACCCACGCACTCTCGGCACCCACGCACTCTCGGCACCCACGCACTCTCGGCACCCACGCACTCTCGGGACCCACGCACTCTCGGGACCCACGCACTCTCGGGACCCACGCACTCTCGGGACCCACGCACTCTCGGGACCCACGCACTCTCGGGACCCACGCACTCTCGGTACCCACGCACTCTCGGTACCCACGCACTCTCGGTACCCACGCACTCTCGGTACCCACGCACTCTCGGTACCCACGCACTCTCGGTACCCACGCACTCTCGGTACCCACGCACTCTCGGGACCCACGCACTCTCGGGACCCACGCACTCTCGGGACCCACGCACTCTCGGGACCCACGCACTCTCGGGACCCACGCACTCTCGGGACCCACGCACTCTCGGGACCCACGCACTCTCGGTACCCACGCACTCTCGGTACCCACGCACTCTCGGTACCCACGCACTCTCGGTACCCACGCACTCTCGGTACCCACGCACTCTCGGTACCCACGCACTCTCGGTACCCACGCACTCTCGGTACCCACGCACTCTCGGTACCCACGCACTCTCGGTACCCACGCACTCTCGGTACCCACGCACTCTCGGTACCCACGCACTCTCGGTACCCACGCACTCTCGGTACCCACGCACTCTCGGTACCCACGCACTCTCGGTACCCACGCACTCTCGGTACCCACGCACTCTCGGTACCCACGCACTCTCGGTACCCACGCACTCTCGGTACCCACGCACTCTCGGTACCCACGCACTCTCGGTACCCACGCACTCTCGGTACCCACGCACTCTCGGTACCCACGCACTCTCGGTACCCACGCACTCTCGGTACCCACGCACTCTCGGTACCCACGCACTCTCGGTACCCACGCACTCTCGGTACCCACGCACTCTCGGTACCCACGCACTCTCGGTACCCACGCACTCTCGGTACCCACGCACTCTCGGTACCCACGCACTCTCGGTACCCACGCACTCTCGGTACCCACGCACTCTCGGTACCCACGCACTCTCGGTACCCACGCTCTCTCGGTACCCACGCACTCTCGGTACCCACGCACTCTCGGTACCCACGCACTCTCGGTACCCACGCACTCTCGGTACCCACGCACTCTCGGTACCCACGCACTCTCGGTACCCACGCACTCTCGGTACCCACGCACTCTCGGTACCCACGCACTCTCGGTACCCACGCACTCTCGGTACCCACGCACTCGGCACCCACGCACTCGGCACCCACGCACTCGGCACCCACGCACTCGGCACCCACGCACTCGGCACCCACGCACTCGGCACCCACGCACTCGGCACCCACGCACTCGGCACCCACGCACTCGGCACCCACGCACTCGGCACCCACGCACTCGGCACCCACGCACTCGGCACCCACGCACTCGGCACCCACGCACTCGGCACCCACGCACTCGGCACCCACGCACTCGGCACCCACGCACTCGGCACCCACGCACTCGGCACCCACGCACTCGGCACCCACGCACTCGGCACCCACGCACTCGGCACCCACGCACTCGGCACCCACGCACTCGGCACCCACGCACTCGGCACCCACGCACTCGGCACCCACGCACTCGGCACCCACGCACTCGGCACCCACGCACTCGGCACCCACGCACTCGGCACCCACGCACTCGGCACCCACGCACTCGGCACCCACGCACTCGGCACCCACGCACTCGGCACCCACGCACTCGGCACCCACGCACTCGGCACCCACGCACTCGGCACCCACGCACTCGGCACCCACGCACTCGGCACCCACGCACTCGGCACCCACGCACTCGGCACCCACGCACTCGGCACCCACGCACTCGGCACCCACGCACTCGGCACCCACGCACTCGGCACCCACGCACTCGGCACCCACGCACTCGGCACCCACGCACTCGGCACCCACGCACTCGGCACCCACGCACTCGGCACCCACGCACTCGGCACCCACGCACTCGGCACCCACGCACTCGGCACCCACGCACTCGGCACCCACGCACTCGGCACCCACGCACTCGGCACCCACGCACTCGGCACCCACGCACTCGGCACCCACGCACTCGGCACCCACGCACTCGGCACCCACGCACTCGGCACCCACGCACTCGGCACCCACGCACTCGGCACCCACGCACTCGGCACCCACGCACTCGGCACCCACGCACTCGGCACCCACGCACTCGGCACCCACGCACTCGGCACCCACGCACTCGGCACCCACGCACTCGGCACCCACGCACTCGGCACCCACGCACTCGGCACCCACGCACTCGGCACCCACGCACTCGGCACCCACGCACTCGGCACCCACGCACTCGGCACCCACGCACTCGGCACCCACGCACTCGGCACCCACGCACTCGGCACCCACGCACTCGGCACCCACGCACTCGGCACCCACGCACTCGGCACCCACGCACTCGGCACCCACGCACTCGGCACCCACGCACTCGGCACCCACGCACTCGGCACCCACGCACTCGGCACCCACGCACTCGGCACCCACGCACTCGGCACCCACGCACTCGGCACCCACGCACTCGGCACCCACGCACTCGGCACCCACGCACTCGGCACCCACGCACTCGGCACCCACGCACTCGGCACCCACGCACTCGGCACCCACGCACTCGGCACCCACGCACTCGGCACCCACGCACTCGGCACCCACGCACTCGGCACCCACGCACTCGGCACCCACGCACTCGGCACCCACGCACTCGGCACCCACGCACTCGGCACCCACGCACTCGGCACCCACGCACTCGGCACCCACGCACTCGGCACCCACGCACTCGGCACCCACGCACTCGGCACCCACGCACTCGGCACCCACGCACTCGGCACCCACGCACTCGGCACCCACGCACTCGGCACCCACGCACTCGGCACCCCACGCACTCGGCACCCACGCACTCGGCACCCACGCACTCGGCACCCACGCACTCGGCACCCACGCACTCGGCACCCACGCACTCGGCACCCACGCACTCGGCACCCACGCACTCGGCACCCACGCACTCGGCACCCACGCACTCGGCACCCACGCACTCGGCACCCACGCACTCGGCACCCACGCACTCGGCACCCACGCACTCGGCACCCACGCACTCGGCACCCACGCACTCGGCACCCACGCACTCGGCACCCACGCACTCGGCACCCACGCACTCGGCACCCACGCACTCGGCACCCACGCACTCGGCACCCACGCACTCGGCACCCACGCACTCGGCACCCACGCACTCGGCACCCACGCACTCGGCACCCACGCACTCGGCACCCACGCACTCGGCACCCACGCACTCGGCACCCACGCACTCGGCACCCACGCACTCGGCACCCACGCACTCGGCACCCACGCACTCGGCACCCACGCACTCGGCACCCACGCACTCGGCACCCACGCACTCGGCACCCACGCACTCGGCACCCACGCACTCGGCACCCACGCACTCGGCACCCACGCACTCGGCACCCACGCACTCGGCACCCACGCACTCGGCACCCACGCACTCGGCACCCACGCACTCGGCACCCACGCACTCGGCACCCACGCACTCGGCACCCACGCACTCGGCACCCACGCACTCGGCACCCACGCACTCGGCACCCACGCACTCGGCACCCACGCACTCGGCACCCACGCACTCGGCACCCACGCACTCGGCACCCACGCACTCGGCACCCACGCACTCGGCACCCACGCACTCGGCACCCACGCACTCGGCACCCACGCACTCGGCACCCACGCACTCGGCACCCACGCACTCGGCACCCACGCACTCGGCACCCACGCACTCGGCACCCACGCACTCGGCACCCACGCACTCGGCACCCACGCACTCGGCACCCACGCACTCGGCACCCACGCACTCGGCACCCACGCACTCGGCACCCACGCACTCGGCACCCACGCACTCGGCACCCACGCACTCGGCACCCACGCACTCGGCACCCACGCACTCGGCACCCACGCACTCGGCACCCACGCACTCGGCACCCACGCACTCGGCACCCACGCACTCGGCACCCACGCACTCGGCACCCACGCACTCGGCACCCACGCACTCGGCACCCACGCACTCGGCACCCACGCACTCGGCACCCACGCACTCGGCACCCACGCACTCGGCACCCACGCACTCGGCACCCACGCACTCGGCACCCACGCACTCGGCACCCACGCACTCGGCACCCACGCACTCGGCACCCACGCACTCGGCACCCACGCACTCGGCACCCACGCACTCGGCACCCACGCACTCGGCACCCACGCACTCGGCACCCACGCACTCGGCACCCACGCACTCGGCACCCACGCACTCGGCACCCACGCACTCGGCACCCACGCACTCGGCACCCACGCACTCGGCACCCACGCACTCGGCACCCACGCACTCGGCACCCACGCACTCGGCACCCACGCACTCGGCACCCACGCACTCGGCACCCACGGCACCCACGCACTCGGCACCCACGCACTCGGCACCCACGCACTCGGCACCCACGCACTCGGCACCCACGCACTCGGCACCCACGCACTCGGCACCCACGCACTCGGCACCCACGCACTCGGCACCCACGCACTCGGCACCCACGCACTCGGCACCCACGCACTCGGCACCCACGCACTCGGCACCCACGCACTCGGCACCCACGCACTCGGCACCCACGCACTCGGCACCCACGCACTCGGCACCCACGCACTCGGCACCCACGCACTCGGCACCCACGCACTCGGCACCCACGCACTCGGCACCCACGCACTCGGCACCCCACGCACTCGGCACCCACGCACTCGGCACCCACGCACTCGGCACCCACGCACTCGGCACCCACGCACTCGGCACCCACGCACTCGGCACCCACGCACTCGGCACCCACGCACTCGGCACCCACGCACTCGGCACCCACGCACTCGGCACCCACGCACTCGGCACCCACGCACTCGGCACCCACGCACTCGGCACCCACGCACTCGGCACCCACGCACTCGGCACCCACGCACTCGGCACCCACGCACTCGGCACCCACGCACTCGGCACCCACGCACTCGGCACCCACGCACTCGGCACCCACGCACTCGGCACCCACGCACTCGGCACCCACGCACTCGGCACCCACGCACTCGGCACCCACGCACTCGGCACCCACGCACTCGGCACCCACGCACTCGGCACCCACGCACTCGGCACCCACGCACTCGGCACCCACGCACTCGGCACCCACGCACTCGGCACCCACGCACTCGGCACCCACGCACTCGGCACCCACGCACTCGGCACCCACGCACTCGGCACCCACGCACTCGGCACCCACGCACTCGGCACCCACGCACTCGGCACCCACGCACTCGGCACCCACGCACTCGGCACCCACGCACTCGGCACCCACGCACTCGGCACCCACGCACTCGGCACCCACGCACTCGGCACCCACGCACTCGGCACCCACGCACTCGGCACCCACGCACTCGGCACCCCACGCACTCGGCACCCACGCACTCGGCACCCACGCACTCGGCACCCACGCACTCGGCACCCACGCACTCGGCACCCACGCACTCGGCACCCACGCACTCGGCACCCACGCACTCGGCACCACGCACTCGGCACCCACGCACTCGGCACCACGCACTCGGCACCCACGCACTCGGCACCCACGCACTCGGCACCCACGCACTCGGCACCCACGCACTCGGCACCCACGCACTCGGCACCCACGCACTCGGCACCCACGCACTCGGCACCCACGCACTCGGCACCCACGCACTCGGCACCCACGCACTCGGCACCCACGCACTCGGCACCCACGCACTCGGCACCCACGCACTCGGCACCCACGCACTCGGCACCCACGCACTCGGCACCCACGCACTCGGCACCCACGCACTCGGCACCCACGCACTCGGCACCCACGCACTCGGCACCCACGCACTCGGCACCCACGCACTCGGCACCCACGCACTCGGCACCCACGCACTCGGCACCCACGCACTCGGCACCCACGCACTCGGCACCCACGCACTCGGCACCCACGCACTCGGCACCCACGCACTCGGCACCCACGCACTCGGCACCCACGCACTCGGCACCCACGCACTCGGCACCCACGCACTCGGCACCCACGCACTCGGCACCCACGCACTCGGCACCCACGCACTCGGCACCCACGCACTCGGCACCCACGCACTCGGCACCCACGCACTCGGCACCCACGCACTCGGCACCCACGCACTCGGCACTCTCAGCACGCAGCTCTCACTTGCGCTTCTTCTCCATGTCGATGTTCCTCTGCCGACTCTTCTCCCACAGCAGCGTCAACTCCTGGTGCAGCCAGACAGATATACAGCCACACACATGTACAGTCACACATGCATTCAGTCACACACATGTACAGTCACACATGCATTCAGTCACACACATGTACAGTCACACATGCATTCAGTCACACACATGTACAGTCACACAGATGTGCAATCACCCACGCATTCAGTCACACATGCACACATAGCAGTATACAGCACAAATCAAATGAGACCAACGTGCACACGAGAGGGCACGTTCAGGCTATAGCCTTTCACGGCATGGCATGGCATAGCATCGCATCGCATGGCATCGCGTGTGGCAGGACTTGGCATGGCGTGGCATCACGTGGCATGGCGTGTGGCAGGTCGTGGCAGGGCGTGGCATGGCGTGGCTAGTACAGACATAGTCCCCTATCGCCCCTCCCCGAGCCTCTCTCCTACACCCATAAACCCATACTCACGCCCGCACTGCGCTGATGCACCCAACCCGTTTGCACCAAGCCCGCCTCTCACTACACTTGGAAAGTGCTAAACCCCTATCCCCGGAACACGCCTGTTCCAAATCCAGAGTTCTGGGGTTTCAAGGCGGAGCTAAACCCTGGCGCGCTAAACCCTCTCTGCGCCCACCTTCTCGAGATCAAAGAGCGGGCGGCGGCGCTTCTTCCGCGCCTCCGCCAACTCCTGTGCGCGGGGCAAAAGGTAGGAGGGGGAACGGGGAGGAGGGGGGAGGGAGAGGAAGGAGGGAGACAGGGTAGGAGGGGGAGCGGTGGAGGAGAGGAGAAAACTAAGAGGCGACGGGCGGGGGGGAGAGAGTGGGAGTGATAAGTGATAAGAGGAGAGGAGGTGCGAGAGGGTTTAATGCAGCAGGCGCCGGATGGTACAGAGGGTAGGAGAGGTGGACAAAAGGGAAGGGTTTTGAGGGGGGAACAGGGTTCAAAGGAGGGACGGTGTTCATGGGAATGACGAGGTGCTTTAAAGCCGACGAATGCCATGAGTGTCATTGCACGCACCTTCCTCTGCTTCCTATCCATCGGTCCGCTAGGTGCGCTCTCCCCTCTTCCTCCCCCCCGCCCCTGTCCGCCGCCCCGTCCCCCGCCTCGTCCCCCGTCCCTCCCGCGCCCGCCGCCTCTCCCCCACCCTCGCCCGCGCGCGCCTCCCCCTCCACCGTCGCTGGAACCTCCGCCTGCGCCTTCAAACTTGCGCTTTCTCGAATCGCCGGGGCTGGCGCTCCCTCCGCGCCCAATCGCTCCGCCAGCTGCGCCCTGCTGTCTACCCCACTCGCCCCGTCCCCCGCCTCTTCCGCCCCTCTCGTCCCCTCTTCCGCGCCCGCCTCCCCAGCCTCCCCCTCGTCTTCCCCCTCCTCCATCCGATCCCCGCCCAGACCCGCCCCAACCTCCCTTATACCCTGAACCTTGCGAGTCCCTTGAACCCCCAAATGATCCGCTAAACCCTCGCCCGCCTCGTCCGCCTCGCCCGCCACTTCCGCCTCTTCCGCCACTTCCACCTCTTCCGCCTCTCCCGCGGCCTCCGCCGCGAGGATTTCCCCCCCAACTGTCTGCCATGGGTCTAGGCGCTTCTGTAGCTCAGTTCAAATGAGAAGTATTTGGAGCACTGTTGTGGAAATGGTTGGGATATTGGAGGAGACTGGCTCTTGTTCAAGATCAGGTGCGAAAATGCGAGTTGCTAGCTGTTCGGGGTATAACATTTCTCGGTGTAGGTGATGCAGATACACATTGTTAGTGTACGTACGGTGTCATACGGTGTTATACTGTCACAGACCGAGTTCTCGTTACTGTGTCTGAACGCGCTCTGATTGGTCTGCTGACAGCACATTCCCGAAATCTACCATCGCAGTCTCCCCAATTCGTCGACTTTCCCACCACGTCAAACGAACTGAGCCTTGCATGGATGATCGCGCTGGTTCTCGCTTTTTATTGGCTGATCTTCCTACACATTTCGTAACATTCCCTCGTTGACAGGCAAACATTACGCATCGCAGCCGTTCGTAAAGAATCGGAGGGCGTGTATTTACCCGTATCAGCTTCCTCATATTTTCTCTTTCCGCTAATGTCGCGAACATCCCTGCGACTCGCGCCAAACCGCAATTTCGTCGCAAACCACCACAATTTTCAACTCCACCTCCACACCTCACCTGCCACAGAGGAAAAAGCCGTTGAGAGAGAAGAAGCACCGAAAATCAACAAAATATATCACGCAAAACCGTATCGAAACGCACAAAAACGTCTACGACATTAGAAACCAGCAGCAGCAACTTCACCACGAGGACATCTCATGCTGGAGCGTTATTTAAAGGGTGCCACAGCGAAGTTCACTCAGCACATCTATATTACAGGACTGCAGCTCAACTATTTCCGGCCGTAGCGATAGTAGCTGACTACGCGTAACAACCCAACAAACAGCCTCGCTAGATCCATAATTTTAAACTATTCTTCGTCTTGTGTTTTCAAGCTCCGCTCTAGAATCCTCTCCAGGAGCAGACTCGTAGTAGCGATTACTCCAAGGTCGTTTCCGGCTATGGCCACGGCACTCGTACCATCAACTCCTGCGACGCCTTCGCCAACGTCCTTCGCCGACCTATCAGAAGACGTCCTTCTGCACCTGCTTTCCCGGCCGTCCTCCGACCCCAACCGCGAGCTTTCCCCAGAAGACCTCGCGCGGCTCGAGGCGGTCTGCTACGCCCTCCGCCGCCCGCTCCTGCTTCCCCCGAACCGTCGTCACTCCGTTGTTGAAACCGCCGCGCGCGCGCGATGCCTGCGCCACCCGCTGCTGGCGCGCGTGCCGGCGGACCTACTGCGCGGAATGGCGGCGCAGCGGTGCGGCGGAAGCTGGCTGCGCGTGCTGCGCTTCGCATGGGCGGTGGAGGACGCCTGGGGGCTGCGGAGGGAGGCGGAGGAAGAGGGGATGCGAGGGGGAGCCCGCCCGCCGAGCGCCGGCGCGCGGAACTCTGGCGAGTTGGCATCAGCAGTTTACGCGGGCGATTACTGTTCATTCCAGATAAAGACAAACGGCGAGCTATGGGTGTACGGTTCAGGCTCGCGAGACGGTTCCCCGCAGTTCACCCTTCCGTTAGCGTCAAATCAACCTCCCCCAGATCTGCCTGCCCCAGTCACTGCCCCGGATCAACCTGCCCTGAATGAACCTCCCTTGGCGAGAGATGAGAACCAGGCGGCAGGCCAAGGGTGGGCGGCTGCCGCCCTTGCTGCCGGCCTGGCGGCGGTCCGAATCGGAACTGGCGGTAGTACCGCAGCTCCAGGCTCGGCAGCAACAACTAGTTCGGCAGTAGCAGGCGCGGAGAGACCTGCCGCTCACGCGCAGCAGCAGGTGCAGCAGCGGCGGGGAGGGGCGCGTGGGCGGAGGGGGGCCCTGAGGGCGCAAATCGCGGTGGGGGGAAGCGCGGACGCGGAGGGGAATGGAGGGAACGAGCGAAACGGGGAAAATGGAGGGAACGGGGCGAGCAGGGAGGAAGAAGAGGGCGGTATGCGGGAGAGAGTGGCGCAAGTGGCAGGGGGGAGGGCCTTCACTGTGATACTAACGAGGTCCGGGAAGGTTTACACTATGGGGCAGGACACTAACGGGTGCTGTGGTCACGGGCACGACGGGGTGGGGAAGAAATTTCCTCAGCCGAAATTAGTGGAGGCTTTAAGAGGTGTGCCATGTCAGCAGGTCGCAACAGGAAGGAGCCATGTTCTCGTGCTACCTAGGGATGGGACTGTTTATGCGTTCGGAGCGGGCGGCAATGGCCGGCTGGGTCTGGGAGATACGGACGACAGATGCCGCCCGACGGTCGTGGAGGGGCTGCGGCCAGAGGTGCTGGCTGCCATGCTGGGCGGATTGACGGGCGGCAGCAATGGCGATACGGATGGCAACAACAGCGATACAGGCGGCAAGAACAACGAACCGGGCGGCAGCAGCATCAACAGCAGCGCCAGCAGCAGCAGCAGCAGCAGCAGTGACCCATACGGTCAGTACCGCATAGTGAGTGTAGCAGCTGGCGCGAGTCACTCCCTGGCCGTCACTGCTGCTGGCGTGGTGCTGGCGTTTGGCAGAGGGCACAGTGGACAGCTGGGGGGCGCGCAGGGCTGGGGGAGCTGGGCGGGGAGTGCGCAGGGATGGGGGGAATGGGCGGAGGGCGCGCAGGGGTTGGGGGATGAGAGGGCGGAGGGGATGAGGGGAGGCGGAGGGCGGGTGGGGCGAGGGCAGGGACGAGCCGGGGGTGCTGCTGGCAGGGTGCATGTGGGCAGGCGTGCTGGTGGTGGTGCGACTGCTACTGGCGCCAGCTATACAGCCAGTGTTGCCGCTACTGGCAGCGCTACATCCACTAATGCTACTTCTGCTGCTACGGCTGCAGCAGTGGCGGCTGCTACAACGGACCTGTCTGACTGCCTGGTACCGCACCCCATAGCGTGGCTGGTGCGGGCGGGCGTGCGTGTGATGAAGGTGGCGGCTTCGGTTGATTACTCCGCTACTCTTGACTGCATGGGACGGGTGAGTTGAATCCTGACGTGTGAAGAGGTGTGACTAGGTGTTAAGAGGTGTGTTCCACTGCTCTTGACTGCATGGGACGGGTGAGTTGAAGCATGGGGTGTGTGTAGAGGTCTGCACAGGTCTTCACCGCTGCTCTCTTACTTGTTTCTTGAGAGTTCTCAAAAAACATATGCCAAGCAAATGCTTCTTTCAACAAGTCTGGTCATGTAAAGCCTCGTGTAGGTTCTTACTTAAAGCCCACTCGCTGCTGTGCGTCCTGTGACCTGTCTCTCTCTGCGTGTGGGCAGGTGCACATGTGGGGTTCCGGCTACTGTGGGTGCCTGGGCAATGGGAGCGAGGCCAATGAGGTGCTGCCACGTGTCGTGGAGGGGCTGCTGCACACGCGGATAGTGCAGGTATGATTGGACAATCCCATCAATTTATCACGTTGGCTTATCACATTTGCTTATCACATTGAGCACGTTGCCGTATCACATCACATATGTTTCCAACCTCTAACCAGGTGACTCTGGGCAAGCGCAAGACACTAGCTCTGGACGACCAGGGGCAGGTCCTGGCGTTTGGATGGACGGCGTTTGGAGGGCTGGGTGTGGCGGCAGGGCGAGACAAGGTGTTTTCCCCCATGCCTGTCGAGGCTCTGGAGGGGAAACGAGTGGTGCAGGTGAGAGGGACAGGCAAGAGGGTGAACTGTTGAGTTACTGGTAGCTGTAGGGTTGGTGGGAGTGGTGGCAGGCGGCAGGGCGAGACAAGGTGATTTCCCCCATGCCTGTCGAGGCTCTCGAGGGGAAACGAGTGGTGCAGGTGAGAGGGACAGGCCGGAGGGTGAACTGTTGAGTTACGGGTAGCTGTAGGGTTGGTGGGAGTGGTGGCTGGCGGCAGGGCGAGACAAGGTGTTTTCCCCCATGCTGGTCGAGGCTCTCGAGGGGAAACGAGTGGTGCAGGTGAGGAAACAACGAAGCACCGGTAGCACCCTTTCTGGTTGATGCTGGTTACGGTATTGCAAATTTATCCTACGTGCCGCTTGAGTACTTATGAGAAGCGGCTACATTGAGTCAGTTTGCGAGTGCGTTTCCGTGTGCGTGTCGTGCCAGTGAGCATATCAGCATTTGGGGGCCTACCTTAATTGTGCTATGCTTTGCCTTGTGCTGTGACTAGTTTGAGTCAACTGAATCATCGTCTGCTTGCATGTGTGTTCTTTTCCGTGTGGTTCAATGTGGTTCATGTGGTTCATGTTAACAAGCAGATCAGCACGGGGGCGTACCACACTGTTGCCTTGTGCCGTGACGGCACCTGCATTGGCTTCGGGGACAATGAGCAGGGACAGCTGGAGCTGCACTGATGGTGGTGGTCTGCTTTTTGAGAGTTTTTAAGAAACAGACTCAACTGGAGCTGTACTGATGGTGGTGAGATCTGCTCTGCACTCAAAGCACAGCTGCACTCAAGCCATGTCACTTCAACTGCTACCACAAGTGTACGGTGTGGCACCTACCCAAATGTCTATGTCCATGCGTGCAACCAAAACGTGTACGGTAACTGTGTTGTTTATAACGTGGACTTTGTGCAAGATGTCTGGTTGCAATGAAATCTGTATCACAAAATCTGTCTGAACAGTGGGACTCGAATGAGAAATAAGAGGTTGCTAAAGCTGAAAGGCAGCAGTCAAGCTTTCAAATCCCTACCTACAGCAGTTGAGAATCAATCACTAGCTAGCATAATTTAACCAGAGAGTCGCATGCAAGAGTGCTGTAGAGACATTGTCAGCAAAACGCAGTGTTTGCTGCATAGACTATCGGCAACAATGAGCATGTTTCAATAATAGGCAGAGGAGAGTGATTGCTTGCGGCGAGGCTTTTCCGGCCCTCCTCCCTGTTGCTGCCGCATCATGGCTGCAAACTCCTCATAGTCAATCGTGCCACTCTGTTACCACACAAGGGGAAGGAGGACGGAGCAAAAAAGGAGAATCAAGATGAATAATTTGGAATACGGTATTCTTGTATCAGTGATTCTTTTCTGCATCCACAGTTGGAAGGTAAGAGAGAGCAGAGAAGAGACAAGGAAGTGCCTGGCTCCAGGATGCCGTCAACACCACACCACCACGTTCAGCCACCCCACAGTACAATTCATGCGACCCCCACCGCCCTCTCCTCTCCTTCTCCTCTCCCCCTCCTCTCCCTCTCGACGCACCTTGTCCGTGTCCACTCGATCGATAATCTGCTCGATGTCCCCCGGCTTCAGCGTGGCCTCATCACCCCACAAGCACACTTTTGATCACTATGTACTGCCACCCACCCAGGTGTAAAAAGAGTAGTTTTGAGACGTCTCAAAACTACTCTTTTTACACGTAGCACACTTTTGATCGCTATGTACTGCCACCCACCCAGCATGTCACCCACCCAGCATGTCACCCACCCAGCATGTCACCCACCCAGCATGTCACCCACCCAGCATGTCACCCACCCAGCATGCCATCCCCCACTTTCCCCTTCCTGACTTGCCTTGTCTTCGTCCTTTTGCTCAATCATCTGCACGATATCCCCCGGCTCCAGCCAGCATGCCCTCAAACACCACACACCATCCATTTCGAGTCACTACATACCCCTGCTTCACATGTCATTCTCTCTCCCCCAATCCACCCTCTCTGACGCACCTTGTCCATGCCCACTTGCTCAATGATCTGCCCAATATCCCCCGGCTCGAGCATGCCACACGACACATCACATTCGAGTCACGACATACCCCTACTTCACATGTCATCCCCTCTCCTTCCCAGCATCAGCGCACCTTATCCGTGTCCACTTGTTCGATGATCTGCTTGATATCCCCCGGCTCCAGCATGCCCTCATCACTACACCATCACAGTCGAGTCACCACGCACGTACGCAACCCTGTCACTGCCTATGCCATCCCTCCCCTTTCCCCCAAACCCACCTTATCCGTGTCCACTTGCTCGATAATCTGCTCGATATCCCCCGGCTCCAGCATGCCCTCAAACACGACACCATCACATCACATTCGAGTGCCGTATCCTCTTCCTCTGACGCATCTTATCCGTGTCCACTTGGTCAATAATCTGCTCAATATCCCCCGGCTCCAGCATGCCCTCATCACCACCTTCAATAACCCACCCCACAGTACTACCACCACTCATGCCATCCCCAACCCTCTCCCCCCCTCATCAGCGCACCTTGTCCGTGTCCACTTGCTCGATGATCTGCTCGATATCCCCCGGCTCCAGCATGCCCTCATCCTCCAGCGCCTCCCGCAACTCGCTCACCGTGATGGTGCTGTGAGGGTGGGGAGGGGGAGTGTGGAGTGGAGGGAAGAGTGGGAACGGCAGGTTAGGAGGGTGAGAGGAGAGAGAGAGCAGCGGTGGGAACGAGGCTCCAGCATGCCCTCATCCTCCAGCGCCTCCCGCAGCTCGCTCACAGTGATGGTGCTGCCAGGGGAATGGGCGATGGGGGAAGGAGGAGGTTGGAGGGGTTGGGGTGGGCGGGGAAGGGGGTGGAATGGAGGGAATGAGACAGGGATGAGTTGCGGCTCCAGCATGCCCTCATCTTGCTGTTCTGTCACAAGTACCAAGTCAGCCAGGAACTAGATGCGGTCTGATCTTGCCTCATCCCCATCCCATCTCATAATTTCTCACCCGCTGCCGTCCTTGCCTCACCCGCTGCTGCCCCTTCTCACCCGCTGCCGTCCCTTCTTTCAACCCCCCTGCCACCTCATGCCGTCTCTTCTCTCCCACCATCCTTTTCTCAGCGTCCTTGTCAAAATGCCTGAACGCAGCCAGGATGTGCTCCTCCTTCTCAACGCTGCTCATCTCACTGCCCTGCTGGCTCAACTCGTACCATCCAGCTACTGTCTCTCATTTCACCCCCTGCCATCCCAACACGTCTCACTCGCTCCCATGCCATCTCGTCTCACCCGCTGCCGTCCTTGTCGAAGTGCTTGAAGGCGGCCAGGATGTGCTCCTCCTTCTCCACGCTGTTCATCTGCATCGTTGCCGTGATGAACTCCGTGTAGTCGATCGTGCCGCTGTTGTCCACGTCCGCCTGGGATAAGGGATAAGGGGAAGGAGGAAACGGGGGGACACGGACAGGCTGTGATGAACTCCGTGTAGTCGATCGTGCCGCTGTTGTCCACGTCCGCCTGCATCCAGAGGGGTGGGAGAGGGGCAAGGAGGGGTTTGGAGTGGTGAGAGAGGGTGTGATGGGATGAACTCCGTGTAGTCGATCGTGCCGCTGTTGTCCACGTCCGCCTGGGATAAGGGAGAGAGGGAGTGGGGGAGGCGAGGTGGGGAAAGGGGGACAGAGGGAGACAGGGAGACAGGGACGGGCTGTGATGAACTCCGTGTAGTCGATGGTGCCGCTGTAGTCCACGTCCGCCTGGCAATACAGGGAAGGAGAGGGAGGTTGGGGGCAGGGGAAGGAGAAAACGGGGGGACAGGGACGGGCTGTGATGAACTCCGTGTAGTCAATGGTGCCGCTGTAGTCCACGTCCGCCTGGCAATACAGGGAAGGAGAGGGAGGTTGGGGGCAGGGGAAGGAGAAAACGGGGGGACAGGGACGGGCTGTGATGAACTCCGTGTAGTCAATGGTGCCGCTGTAGTCCACGTCCGCCTGGGTGGGCAGCAGGGAGGGGAGGGCGAGAAGGAGGGGACAGGGGGAAGTGGGGAAGAGGGGACGAGAAATGCGGGGACGAGGGATAGAGGGATTAGGTTACATGTCACCCATTTCGTCGTATGACATTTATCTCGAGACGTCTCATGACTCAAAACGCCTCTACTCAAAACTTGATAATTACAGCCAAGGGCACACACTCACAGCCTCCATGATCTGCTGCAGCTGGTCCGGCGGGATGGGGCTGCCGAGGCTTCTTACCCTGACGTGTCTGAACATGCATCTGCATAATCGAGAGACTGAGAGCCGACGTCACTCACGGCCTCCATGATCTGCTGCAGCTGGTCCGGCGGGATGGGGCTGCCGAGGCGGCGCATGCCCTCACGCAGCTCGTCGTACGTGATGCTGCCGCTGCCGTCCTTGTCCATCTCCTTGAACATCTTCTTCAACCCAGAGATCTCCTCGCGCGACAAGTTGCACGCGACAACCTGGGTGGGAAGGGGAGGGGGGCAGGAGGAGGGGCGCAGTGGGGTTATTGCTGGGAGGGCAGGTGAGAGATGGTCCGTCCTTGTCCATCTCCTTCAACATCTTCTTCAGCCCTGAGATCTCCTCCCGCGACAGGTTGCACGCCACCACCTGGTCAAGTAGGAGAGAGTGGGGTTGGGTTAAGGGGTGGGGGAAAGGAAGTAGGGGTAGAGGGAGGGGACTGTGAGTGCCATGATGGGGAGGGCAGGTGGGAGACAGTCCGTCCTTGTCCATCTCCTTGCACATCTTTTTTCAGCCCTGAGATCTCCTCGCGCGACAGATCGCATGCCAACACCTGGTTGGGCAAGGGGAGGGGGAGACGGATTAGAAGGGGAGGGGGACAGGAAGGGGAAAACGCGGGGAGAAGAAAGGGTGGTAGAAAGAGTGGGCGACATGAGGTTATCAGTGGTGATGGGTGGAGGGGAGAGGGGGCGACGATGGGGGGTCTAAACGAGGGGGCTTTGGGGGAATGGGGTATGCGACTTGTCCACATCGCGTTCAGCCGGGAATTTCTCGTGTTGCACGCCACCGACTGATGTGCAAGGGGAGATGACTGGCGGGATGAATGGATGGTATGGTGGTGCTCGGGTCGGGAGAAAACATCAGCACGTTTGTTGAGACAATTTTCTTCCTTGAGCCACACTCGCACACCCACCTTTCATCTCAACCACACTCCAGTCAGTGCCCACGTTGAGAGCGAGCTTCTTCATCTGGTCAGCAGCGCTGAACTTCTGAATGCGCTTCAGCACCGCTCATAGCCAGACCCGCTTCCAAACAAACAGACACTCCCGCCTCAACTCTCTGTCTCGCAAACACACTCCTGTGCTCACCTTGAGCGCGAGCTTCTTCATCTTGTTGGCAGCGCTGAACTTCTGAATGCGCTTCAGCACGGCCGCGCCCAGCGGCTTGTCCGACGCCTTGTCCGCCGCCACCCACGGATGGCCTGCGGGGAGCGGGGGGAGAAGAGGAAGGGGAACAAAGTGAGGGGGAACAGAGGGAGACGGGAGAGAAGGAGGAATGAAGGAAGGCGGGAGACGGCTTTTGAGAGGCCTGAAAAGCACGGCCGCGCCCAGCGGCTTGTCCGCCGCCTTGTCCGCCACCACCCACGGATGGCCTGTGCGCAGGGGGGAACGACGGCAGGGGACGGAGGGAGATGAGGGGCGACGGGGGAGTATCGAGGGCGTGATGCGTGCGCGTT